TCATACGATTCTTTTTTGAAATTCAATTCATTTGATCGCATTTCATCTTACGAGATATATATTCCTAGTATCTTGATAAGCGTGTCAGGCCATTTAATACCCAGTGGTTTATCTTTCCTGTAACGAAGTGACCCAATCCACATAACTTTGGTTTTGTAATTATTAATTTTAAGACCAGACATTTTTCCAAAGCATTTTATAACAGAAATTAACGATTTGGCAGAATTAGATCATGCAAGAGGGCAGTGGTATCATCTGCATATTGCGCCAATTTGATTACAACATTGTGAATATGAATACCTTTAATGTCATTGTCATTTCTAATTGCAATCGCCATAAGTTCGACTGCAATCAAAAATGGGTAAGGCGATAATGGACCTCCTTGTCTAGTGCCTCTATTGATATTGAAATAACCAGAGCTAACCCCATTGTTCAGACAGAACAGATGCACAGACAGATATGTGAAATATTAATCAACTAATTTGCATAATTAATCAATATTCAGCTTTTGATATTTCAAGTACTATTACTTCATTACTTTTCAATGAAACTTGGTACATAGATGCTCTAGAACAATCCAAAGAACTGATTAATTTTAAGCTAAAAATGTGTGCATATTAATCTAAACTATTTTGCATAATTAGTTAATTTTTGGCTTTTGCACTAATATCGCAAGTACTAATTATCCCATTTCAATGAATCTTGGTACATAGATGTTCTAGGACAATGCACATGTTTTGGGTTAAAATCAGATCATATTAATTACTTAAGTTGCATAATAAATCATAATTTTTGGTTATAATTACATTTCAATGAAACTTCGTATATAGATCTGTGACAGTACTTATCCTAATTTAATGAATCTTGGTACATTATGTACTCTAACACAATGTGATGATCTAATTAGTTTTAGGTTTATATACATCTATAATAATTACCTAATTTGCATGATAATTTACTTTTCACTAATTTAGTTAGGATTAATCATTAATTGTATTTTCTGTATGTATTATAAATTTTGATAATGTGAATCACATTTTTTTCATGTTATGCATCTCAAATAGCAGACAAAAAATAGTTGCCAAGCTTCTTGTTTGAAAAGCAAATCTTAAATTTTGAAGTAATTTTAATGTGTCTCCAATACTTGCAGCACACAAGAGTTCTTTCTAAGCTTTTATTACTTGTTTAATAAAACATGGTTCCATACAATCATGAATGTATCTTGTCTATTATTGTGGTCACATAACATACCGTGGAATGCTTTATTTGCACTGGCTTTTTATTTTCCCTGTTTTACCAGAAGTCAATTTTCCACAAAATAAATTCCAGTGAAAATGCAGCTTTCTCTATACGTTGCATTGAGCCTTAATACAGCATAGTGAAAATTAGATCCACACAATGCCAGAAATCTGTTTTCAGCAAAAATAAATTCCAGAGAAAATAAAGTATTTTACAGTAGTCAGCAATATTTCAAGCAACTTTTTTAACAATGTTTCTGTTTTAGTCTGTAAAATGTATTTAAACTAAAACAGTTAAATTGTTAGAGATATTGCATGCAATACCGTATTTGCTCTATTAGTAGCGCATGCTCTAATGTAAATAACAGAGGTGTTTCTATGGTCAAAATACATCATATTTTAATAAATAAGTATACAATCAATGCAATTGTTTCCGTACATGTGCTTCTATTGGAGATGTTCTTCTAATAGAGCATGTATGGTATAAAATCTAAATGCAACCAGAGTGAAATTGTTTCTGAATGTCGCATACGACTTATTTACCACTTCCGTGTCACTGAGAATGTTCTAGAACCGTACTGTGTCTGGGTGGAATATTCTATATTTTTAGAAATAGGTTGAATATGTAATAGAACACTGTAGGAGGCAATAGAAGGTAATGGAACATTCTAGAAATTTGTAGTAAGTTCCAGACTCATTATGTATGCTGATGTAATGGTCTATTTATAGACAGTGGGGGTATATATAGGGGAGTTGTTCAGATCGGAGATCTCGTTGAATTGTATTGGAGTTTAAGTATCTAGTTATTGGAGTAGTGGAGTTTTACCGCGTTATTGTACCAGTTGAAACCTCATCTGTTTGCTCCGTGTTCGTATGTTATCATCGCCGCCAGGGAAGTCTTTCTGTTACTGTTGCCATTTTGGTATTTGAACCATCACACCTGTACTATACCAATTACGGTAATAATACGTTGCGTGTGACACTGAAACTAATATTGAAATGCAAATATTAATTTTTCCTCTGCTATTAATTACAAACCAGAATCATTGACATCCATTTATATATGACCTAGTTTCTTCTTGCACTCTGTGCCCCCTTATCTTGGCAGGAAGAATTGGCATATTCTTATGACGCAGTAATTCAAGTGAATCTACTGTGTTCAGAGATGACACAACAACAGCTGACGGAAACATTTTTTTCCTAAGTCATACAGTAAAAAATATGTTTTTTACACTGGTGAAGCAATAATTCAGAATTTTTTTTTTTTTAATTCTGACCCCCCCCCCAAATCAAATGTTCCAACCCTTAGTCAACGTTCGAGGTTTGGTGGAAACGACTGTAAATACTGGTATCGTATTAGTGACTCACAAGACGGTAATATTAAAAACAAGCCTTTGAAGAACAAAAACAACAACATTTACATGTCTTAGGTACCAAACAAAAAGACACAAATTATTCTAAATTAATAATATCAATACTCCAGAAGAATTAAAAAGTGATGGCCAGATATTTAAATATATTATGAGTTCAAGGGAAGACAGAATAATAAGACAAGTTGGTGAATACTTGTATATATATATATATATTGTACTTTATTACTAACTATTCTCAAGATACAATAAATTTATTATTATTATAGTGGTTGTATTATGTTGTTTTTTACCAGAAATTGCATGCTTCAGCTCAGTAGAATGGCAATGCATTCACGCAGCTCATCAATATGGAAATCGTGGAGACTTCACAAACAAACAAACAAAATATGGAATGCAATGCAGAAAACACACATTTGTATCAAAACGTGGGTCTTGAAATATCAGTGGTAACTTACAGTCATTAAACAAGTTTACCATTGAAGGAAAACAGTTAAAATGCAGCTGCTAATAGCGAGTTGTTTGATTATTTGGGCAGGTATGTGGTCATCTATGGGCTAATAGTGTTTATTTGAATAGTATTCTTCCAAATGGAGTATGTTATATTATTGATGGTGATCTGGATTTGGCCAGTAATGTGAGGAAAGTTAGGCCTTGTTTAGGAGGTGAGTATTACACATCTAGGCTAGACTATTTTACCACACTAGATTATTATAAAACTACAATTGAGCTGACTTAACCAGAGTAGAACAGACGAGAAAACAATTGATTTATTTTACAAAAGCCACTATGTATTTTTCCACACATATGAAAACCAATCTAGAAACGCAGATCAAAGCTGGTCCAGATCTTCGTGGTATAGCGTGGCATGGCTGGTGTCAAGCTGGAATTAGTGCACATTATACCAAAGATGGTTCATTATTATTGTTAGGAGCAGTTGGCTCCATCGCATGGAGAGGTGAGTTCAAGGACATCAATATAATTAAATAAACAATATTTATATATGAATATGCACCAACATGGACTTGATTGTTACTGTTGGTAATATGTAATATGTAATTTAAAAAAAGTAAAACAGCATGGTAACCCTGGTAACAAGTGTTTATTAACTGTAGGCATGGTTAACAAGTGTTTATAACTGTAGGCATGGTAACAAGTGTTTATTAACTGTAGGCATGGTAACAAGTGTTTATTGACTGCTGTACTTTGTGGTTGCTTATATAGGTACAGTGATATCAGTCTCTGATAGCTCTATAAGAGTTCCTACATTGACTTGGTACCCCGACGGTGAACAGGATGAAAGTTATATAGGTAGTTAATTTCTGTCTCAATGCAATAAGTGAAACAGCTGCAATCCCCATGACAACACATATGCCAATTTATGTTACATGTAATTATATTGTGATATAGAAGCATCAAGTGTAGTAAATTTGAATCACTGTACGAAAGTTTATTTGACTTTTGTTACTTTCATGTTTCTAGGCTATTCTATGAGTTCTGGAAATTTTTATTCAGATGATACAACAGAAGGAGTGACTGGAGCTCCACGTGCTAAACATGTTGGTAAAGTGTTTGTGTATGACTTACAAGATTTTTCAGTTTTAATTGAACTAGAAGGCCAACAGGTAATTTGTATACACATTGTATAAAATTTGTGGTTTTGTGAAATGTCAAGTCGGATTGGGATAAATCAAACAACTAATACATCATAATTATGCTAATGAAATGTCAGTATTACACATTTTGTAAGTGAAAGGTACAGTACTATATATTGGTAAAAGCGCCATGTGTATGTTCAGTATTGTATATTAATGAAAGCACCACATTCAGTGCTATACATTGAGCAAGACAGTCATACATATTGGTGGCAAAGCCAGCTGCAATACAATACATTAGTGTAAAAGCCATTACATTTATTAATGACAATTTGTTTTGTGAACTGCAACATTCATTATTGGTGAGATATAATAACACGTATAATAAAGACTAGTAAAGGAATCTAATTCATTGTACAATTCTGCATTTTATACATCAGATGGGTGCATATTTTGGCAGTTCTGTTTGTGTACTTGATCTAAATAATGACGGTTTATCAGATTTGTTTGTTGGTGCTCCATTGTATGCAGATATTGTGGAAGAAGGACGAGTGTATGTGTACATCAACCATGGACAGGTAATTTACATGCCAAAAAAACAGCGGATGCAGTAATTACACCCATTACGTTTATATAAACATACAATACAAGATGCAAAATATCTTGCCACTATGTAACCATAGTTTGATAGTAACCTGATTGATATTTTAAGCTACATAGCGGTATATACTTGATATTATCTTGCATTTATTTACAGGGTGTATTACAACCTTCCAATGAACCACTGCAAGGATCTAGTACTGCATATGGTAGATTTGGTTCAGCTATAGAACACATCGGAGACATTAACATGGATGGTTACAGAGGTAGGTATTATAAATTCGATAACAAATAAACCCATATTGAGCAAATAATAAACTTCAATCTGGTAAAACTTCAAATTGAAATTTAGCATTTTCGAAATGAAACACACTTCTGCAGTTTTTGTATGTTATGGATGTAATATTTTGTTAAAGTTGATGTCCTTGTGAATTGATTTTTCGATTTCTTAGTTATTGAGACATATATTTAGTAATAAAGTATTTGCGTCATTAGATGTTGCAATCAGTGCTCCATATGAAGGATCAGGTGTGGTTTATATATACCATGGTAGTCGGACAGGAGTTACAACCAAATATGCACAGGTAAACAAACCATAGAACGTTTAGTAAACATACACATACTTCTGATATGAAACAATATACATGTTAAAACAATAAATAACATGGCAAGGCAAATACTATGAAATCATAGTAAATACGTACTGCATGCATGACTTGAGCCAACGCTCACGTATACGTCTTCCCATCGACCACTGGGCATCCCCCTAAATGTGGTATGACAAATATTAATAGATTGAATAGTTATGACGCCATAGAATAAAATTAGTATATTTTCTAGGCTATTATTGGCGAGACAGTAGTTCCTGGTATCCAGTCGTTTGGTATATCAATATCTGGAGGTTTGGATATGGACGGAAATGCTTATCAAGATATTGCTGTTGGTGCATATCTTAACAACACTGCTGTACTTTTTAGGTAAATGTTCCATTTCACCCAAATATATACTATATTAAAGTGGGAGGGTCGTCACCTGCGCACGCGCGAGAATTGAGTTCCAAGCGACGATAACAACACACACTAAAAACGCAAAGGCTCATGGGTAGACAGTGACACGCTATGGCCATCTGACACATGCACAGGTAACGACTCCCTCGCTTTAAGACGTACTGATATACACATATGTAATCAATAAAGTTTGCAGGCGAGTTATGTTGATTGTACCTCATTATTCTGAGAAACAAGTCCAGCATTTTCTTGAACTTCACAAAATAAGCTAGAAGTGGTTGTTTATTTCATTGCAGAACCCAACCTGTTATCAATGTGTTTCCAGAGTTACTCATTGAACCAGAACAGATAAATCTTAACACAACCCAATGTATATATAATAATGAACTGGTCAATTGTCTCATAGTATTGGTGTGCTTAAAGTACTCTGGTACAGCACTCCCAACACGAATTGGTATGTGGTAATTAAATTCTCATTTATTTATCTGATATGATATGAATGTATACTATAATGTTTATAAATTAATCCAGTGGCAAGCATAAACGTGTACTCCATATTCTACATCTTACAAAACCAATCTAACTCAAATCAAATTAAGATATAATTGTGATGTATGTTCTGTCAACAATTCAATCATTTGTGTTCTTAAACTTGTACACTAGAAAGCCATTGTTCCTAACTAATTAGTTATGTTGTCTATTCGCCACACAAACTGTTCCATATACAGTATAGAAGTGATTGTCAGGTTTTTAGATAAAACAAGCAGCCTCTCGGCTGAGATAGCTCCGCTGTTAGCAATGCACATTTCAATTGCGGTTTTCAACAAGAAGTTGAAAATTTCACTTTTTACCAAAAATATTCACCAAAATTAGAGAATTAAAGATATACAAAATGAACAAATCTGAGAGAGGTCCACATGTAGTATCTATATATGTAATATCAAAGCAATTGGACTTGCGGTTTTCAACAAGAAGTCAAAAATTTCACTTTTTACCAAAAATGACAAAAATATTCACCAAAATAAGAGAATTGAAGATATCATCATGAAATGAACAAATCTAAGAGAGGTCTACCCAAGGTACATATACACCAAGTATCAAAGCATTCAGGCTTGTAGTTTTCAAGAAGAAGTCGAAAAAGTAAAACATTGACACGGACAATGACTGACAATCACTCATTTGATAAGCTCCGCTCGACAAAGTCGACAGCGGAGCTAAAGAGTACACAGTGACCTGTTTCACATAAGGCACCAATTTGGTCAGGTATTTGTTTCAGATTTCTTTATACCTGACATTAGCACATTTGACCAGACCATTTCACAACTAATTATGAATTCATAGATTATACTTCAACTACACAAATGCTGATATTCTTACATTTTCTTTGCAAGTTTTGTCATACAGACTTGAAGTAGAAAAGTTCAAAATATCCAATGGTCAGAATTCAAGGGTTCAGTTTGTCTCCAATGACACTGTCCTTGGCAATACACTAGAAGACAGGATTGTTTTGCGATATGGACAGAAGTATTGTGAACCATATAAAGCCCTTTTGAAGGTGAATATACCACATATTCAGGTTTGAGCTGATTTGGGTCTATCCCCATCTCATTTTAAAAACAGTACATTTGAAATAAATTGCATGGTTTACCGTTGTAAGTACCAAACCACCTTACTGAATATACATTATACAAACGAAAATGACTTACATTTAGAAATACTGGTTCATATAGTATAGCTATGCTACATTAATGGATAAGACGATACCTTGGCTAACTACATAATTTTATGTGTTATGTAATGTAGATAAATAAGTTATTACATGTATTTGCAGTCAGCAATATGAATTATATCTTTCTCTTTCAGAGTTCTATAACAGACTTATTGACGCCTATTCAAGTTGAATTATCATACGAGTTGAACACAAATGACAGTAACATTAGCATATGTGATGAATTATGCCCAGTGTTAAATGTAAATAGAATGAAAACAGTACAGAAAGAGGTACAGTTCAAAATATATTAAATAGTTAATAGAATTATTATTATACCCAGTCAATAACACCAAGTAATTGCTTACAAACATGCATCAGTGAGGGAAACTTAGGTTTGCTTCTAAAAGCCAAAAGCTTTCATTACCTTATAGACGATTAGATGGTGACCTTCCAAATGAAAGATAGTTGTATAACTCCTGGAAGTACCCATTGTTTTGCAAGTGAGATGTCTAGTTGGTAGTGATTAAGCTTTTCTACTTGGTTAGAATTAACCTTCTAGTTGATACCTCCATGGTATAATTGAATGCTAAACATTGTTACATCTCAACATTTGATTGACAGGTAGCATTTGTTCGTAATTGTGGTCCTGACAATGAATGTATATCTGATCTTCAACTTAAGGCTGCTTTTCAACTTCCAAGGTATGGCATCAAATGTCTAAATCTGTCAAAATTTCAAATGTATATTTTAACTAGTTCTGCTTTTTAAAAAATGGATTATTCCCAAATTGATGTTATGTGATATACAGTTATTGCTTCAGATTGTATTTATTTGGAAAATAAAACTAGTAATTTGTCAATTATAATGTATTTCAGTGGATATACCACATTTATACCCCTGGGTGTTACAACACAGATTATAATAGATGTAACCATTGGCAACCAGGGAGAGGATGCACATCAAACTAAAATAATGATCAATTACCCCAGCGTACTCAACTTCATCAGAATCGAAAGTGGCAGTTTGGTAAGTCATCAGAAAATCTGTTCATTTTGGATCAGTCTTTATGTATTAGAGTGTCTTATATTACCGGTAGGCTACAATACAAATCTGTAGTAGTCGCTGTGTCTGATAAAAGTTCAATATCATATGTAATCACTAAGTTTGTAAACAGTTTAAATAACATTGTATACACAATTGGATACAGAAACCCAGATGCAGAATATATGCTGTGCAAGTAAAAAATATATGTATGTTTTTATTGTTGCAGGGTAGTGTGATTCAGTGTCTACCGGATACTGACATACTAGATGATCAAATATCTGGCCTGACTTGTCATGTGGGAAACCCAATGATGTCAAATTCAAAGGTCTGGGATCATATATTTCAATTATTCAAATTTGTAAATTATCAATGACATAGACCAGTTAC